GCCGGGAGAGGATAGGGGGAGATGGTGAGGAGAGTGGTGAGGGTGGACCAGGGGACAAAGATTAGTTGTGTTGTGCGGAGGGGATGTGGACAAAGCAAAGAATGAAGACCCACCTTAGAAACGATGAACAAATCTTCACGATTCTCACCAACAGCTTTCAAACCTTCTTTGATACCTTCCGCAACTTCAGGTTGGTTCTCATAAACCAAAGCACAATCAATATGTCTATAACCGATTTTGATAGCTTCAGCGACACTTGTGTGATCAGTTTGATTACTCTACCAACGGACCAATCACATAGTGATCTCTCCTTTTGATGCAACTGGACGTTTATCAAGAGAATGAGGGTATCATTGAAGAAGAAGAAGAAGAAGAAGAAGAAGAAGAAGAAGAAGAAGAAGAAGAAGAAAGAAACTAACGCTGGTCCTACTTCACCTGGAGCAGATTGCCAAGTTCCATAACCTATCAAATCGACTTTAGCGCCTGTGTTCCTGTTGGTCAGACCTGCTCTTGTGATTGTTCACATCTTCAACTCTCAACCTCTTGTATGAAACATCTAACGTTTCCTCCCATCTCTTTCAACCATTTGTCCTCCTTCCCATCAACCCTCTCCTTCACCCCCAATCCCCCATTCCTCATCGCTCGACACTCCCTCTTTCGAACGATCCGTAAAACTCACAAGGTATTCTGACGATGTAAAGCCATCTTTTCAATCCTGTATATTTGTTACTGAAGAGAGAAAAGCTTGTGAGAAGAAACGCGAAGGAACAAAAGTGAAAAGTACTTAGATCAAGTATCAAACTGATTGAGATTGTGATTGAGATTCGGAATGGTCTAGCTTTTTTTCGGAGGACGGAGAAATCCCGGATACTTCGGACCGAAACATGATGTCATCGTATGTATGTACACTACCACTTGTTCGGAAAGGTGTTAAACATTCGGAAGGTGGACATTGTATAAATACGATATGTACGAGTAGAGTCCGAATAGGTATTGAAAGTAAAGTAAGAGAACCCTGATACTCAAGTGACAAGTGGGAATTGAATGTGTGCAAGTAAAGGAAATGGATTAGAAACGTTCCACACATACAGTACAGTGATCGAGGAAAGGAGAGCATAAAGAACCTTACATGTTTGTTACGGCTGGGACATAAAGTACTTACAAAACGTCGAGTAGATTCACCTTATGTGGGATAGAAAAACAAAGTCGAAAAGATATTTTATATTGATCACCAAGGTAGATGCATAACTCAACTCCAAAAAACACTCTCATAGAAGTAATGACCAAAACAAAACCCTCTTCCCTACTCCGGACCATCAATGACACATTTAATCACAAACTTGCCATCCCTATCTTTACCGTTTTTCGTAATTTCAAACGCCTCCAACGCGTCTGTGAATTTGAAAGTGTGTGTGAGGAGAGGTTTGAGGTCTACCAATCCACGAGAGACTAAATCGATGGCGAGGGGACTTGAGTGTTAGTACGTTCATATCTTAAAGGACGAAAAGATAGTTTGGAGGAACAATGGCAAGAGGGAAGTGAGAGGAAGCAAAGAAGAGGAAGGGGAGGGGTTGAAGAGATAAGTTAGAAAGAGAAAGATAAACTATCAACTCACTAATCTCCTGAACCATACCTCCATCCACCTTTGATAGTAATCTCATTCGTAGTGATCCTAAACATCGGAACTTGGATATCAGGGTTACCGAAACCCGTTTGAACATAAGTTCCCCTAGATGTCAGTGGAGGTTCATAGCTTTATAACCATGAGACCCTCGTGGGACTACAGGTAAGTACGTGATGGCAAGATCTGGCAAGTGCCGCGAGGGTGTAGTAAGGAGGGAGGGGTGCAGCACGACGAAGTGAGGGTTATAGGAAGAATGAATGAGAGTCATTATGACTCACCCAGGTCGGACAGCATTCAAACCCATCTGAACACAAACTTCCGCTCCGGTCGCATCAACGACCAGATCTATCGATCCTGGACCTCTGGCAGGTGTACCAGTAGATAATAACAGATCGGCAGCTGCTCGAAGGGTATACTGCGGACGAGTCTCATCAGGAAGTTGAGCGCACTGATAGTCAGTACTGACCATTTACAACAATGCAAAAACACCCTTTCCACAACTTCGTGAGAGAATGATTGGCGTCTTGTGTATTTGACCATTTGACAATGACAGAAGCGATTGACTTCTCACTTATCACCAAGCGGGAATCTAGAGTCATGGAGATCGGAGGAGTTGAGATGGAAGAAAACTCCCCTGCAAACATGACTCAACAAAGTGGGTTCGGGATCAGTTCCGGGGTGGGGGGTTGATGGACCGATGAATGAAAAAAAAAAAACACTTACAGGGACATAAGTATGAGTAGCAGCATAAGTCTTTGCGAATGCCAATCTTTCCGTATTGATATCTACCGCTACGATCTTTGCCGCTCCCATACCTTTCGCAACACCCATAGCTAAAAGTCCTACCGGACCTGCACCCATGATGATAACATTCCATCCTGCTCTCACTCCACCGGTGGTGGCGACAGCATGGACGGCGACGGATAGAGGTTCCATCATTGCACCGTAGACGAGGTCTACGGAGTCTGGGAGGGGTAGACCAAGTCTGCTGGGCTAGGAAGAGAATCAGCATTTATTCGATTTCTCTTCATGTCCCTCTTGCGGATCCCATGATGAGCATGTTCATAGGGGTAGATGTTGTTGGAACCGTTGCGAGAAATATCATTGGTTCACTTCGTCCGTACACTAAGTGAACAACAACATGGCTGGGTGGTTATTCGTGGCGGCGGTAAGGAGGCGGGAGGGGAGGGGGGGAGGAAACGTTGATAAAGTAAGAAATAACTTACAGTTTGTAATACCTCTGAAGAGTACCGTCAAAAGGTGGATAAGCTGCAAAAGCCATATGTTCGCAGATCTATGATTCAGCTCTTCGTCTTGGGTGGATCGTGGAGCTAAGGAATAGGCTAGATACCTGATAACGACCACTACGACAATCTGAGCACATTCTACAGGTTGCTAAATATCAGCATCGAAATCCGTATACTAGGAAGCCCGTCACCGCCAATCCATTATCCTCTACACGACCGTTCAACCAGCCAGTCACAATTCATCGAACCGCAGCCCATTGTACGGGATTTGTATCAGACAGAGAAGGATGATGGTATACAGAGGGGTGACGCTCAAGGATGAGAATGTCATGAAAGGGACAAAGAGTCAATAACTCACTCCCTGGCTCCATAGTTACTTTATCACCCAATTTCAAAGCTCTAGCACCAACAACACCCCTAACATTATCCGACCCTTGACCATTCGTGAGTGCTTTCTCAACCTCTTCCGCCGCTGCAGCCTTCGCAGCGCAATTAGCACCCAGTTGAACGATTATACCGGATGATTCGTGTCCTAGACACATGGGACCACAACATGATACGAGTCCCATTTTCCCCGTGTTGTAGACTGAAGTGAGCGGACATCCTCTCCGTGATTCATTCATAGCTCATGGCAATAGCCCCCTTCATTCTTTGCTCAGCTCGTACGGTAATCTGTGAGATAGTGGGAAGTCATTATAGAGTGTTTATCTTTCGAGAACATTCAATAGGTATTTGACTTGATAGAAGTGAATGATCATGAGGGTTTACTGAATCGAGGTCACGTTCAAGAGGAAGTAGGATAAGGTGACCAGACAAAAGGGACCATGACGAGGTGATCAATCAAGAGGTCGATACTGAAATCAGGTGTGAAATCAGAAAGATGAAGAAGAGTCCATATATTGAGGGTGTTATAAGAGAGAAGAAGAAGACGAAGAAGAAACTAACAATGTACATCAGAACCACAAATTCCCTTCTTATCAGCTTCCAAGCTCGTCTATCACAATTCAAATCACTGACAGTTTTCTTAACTTCCACAAGAACTTCATCGGGTCCTACGTGAGGTACGGGCAACTATTCATTAGTATTCTTTCTTTATCGACATCTATAACCAATCTTTCCCTTCTTTGGTATTTCATAAACCTCCCTCGTGATATGTCTCTACTGCTCTTCCGATATATAATGAAGAACTCATATATTCTTATCGACCAAACAAACGTGACGTTCTTCCTTTGTTATAACAATTATAAATACCCTTCTTCTATACACTCAAGCAACCGTCCTCTCACTCTTCAACTACGCCTTTAACCCCCATTCCACCCGATTCAAAAGTTTCTTCACCATTAGGATCTGAGAAGAACATACAGAAGAAGATGTAAAGTTTCAAATGGGGATACAAATCCAAGGATATGAAGAAGATAAACTGACTTGCTCGTAGCTAGTTCTAAGCTTTCCATGTAGGATGAAACCTGGATTATCTCTTGGTTCAAAGATGGGAGGGTTAGGTAGACCATTTATTGTTGATGACATGTTTGAAAAGGAGTAGTTGTCAACGTGTTTTTGTCAATGGGAAGAGAATGAAATTAGAGTATAGAGTAACTTTGAGATTATTGATTACTTTATATCTTTCAGATGTTTTAGATTTGTCTACTCTACTTTGTTAGATGATCCAATTCACCCTATGTGTTGTTACTAGTAGTGCAGGAGAAGAAGAGTGACATGGGCTGAGAAAGGAAGGAAGGATCGGGCCGATGTTGCCGGTTGTCAGGATTCACCGGTTAATCTCGGGGTTAAATTACCTCCACTCTTGGGTCCACTTGAACATCTCGTTCAAGACCAACGTGTCAAATGTTCTCGTGCATTAGGGTGTAGGTGTGCATCTGATTAGGTGAGGGATGCAGTAAGAGAGCAAAGAGATGATATAGCATGATTCCCTCGTGAGTAAAGTGGAAGATGTCCAAGAAAGAGCAAAGTGGAAGATATCCAAGAAAGAGGAAGGAACAGATTGAGGTAATGGAGGAACGGAAAAGGGTGAGACAGATGATAATTCATACATCAACATAAATGTTATGTTATCGATTCAACCACTTAACTACCCAAACAAAACCTTTATATCCTTCTCAATCTTCTCCCTCGCTTTCTCTTCCTCTCCATGAAATATATCTAAAACATCTTTGATTTTCCCCGTGACGACAGGATCAGATTTAATAGCTTTATCCAATTCTTCCCCTCCATTAGCTAGATAATCAATATCGGTCCTTGCTAAAGTTCCATCCCAATCGGGACCTGCCAAAGGGTCAGAAGTGGAATGTAAGGTGAATCGTGTTGGTGTAACACGATTTTTGTAAGGATGAGAAGGTTTGATATATCCGTGTGGAGGTAGATCATCTGGAGTAGCGGCAAGTTCGGTTAGATGATGTCCTAGGATGGTAGAGTGTTGTACGCCAAGAGAAGCTGTGGCGAAGAGTTCTTCGAGGTTTGCGTGACTGATATCAGTGATGTCTCTTCTCTTTTCCCTTTTCATATCCGATGATGGACTGGAGACATGGAAGGTTGGGATCACGTCAGGTATCAGTGGTTTCAGATCAATCACTGTTGTGACGTGGTGAGACCGAGCCAAGTGCGGTTGACCTTCAGTGGGATGAAAGTAAGTGATATCCTTGGCATTGAGCTGCGTTGAGAGCAAACGTTTCCGGGGTACAACTGACATGTTTGAGGAATCCAATGAATATGATGTGTGTGATTATTGTACATATGTTGAGACATGACAAGGAAGATAACTCACGAAGCCATGATGATAATAGGTTGTTCTTTCCCCGTCTGTTCGTACAGTTTGGTATATGTTTCTAGAATATGAATAAGTCTAGCTGACATTGGATGCTAATCATCAGTCTTCTGATCGCATTTCCCACTCAACTCGTCAAATAAGTCGTCGAATGGTGAGCAATCAAGTAGCCAGATAAGTAGTGAAAGATGATCATATAAATCACCAGATTATGTTGTAAAGTATGATCACCGAAACGACCAGATCGGATCTTCGAAAGGTGAGAAGAGAGACTCACGTTAATCGCTGGATCTTGAACATCTGGCCAAAGAGATTTATCCGAATAAGCTCTGACCTCTGATCGTTAATCTTCACGTCGAGATGAAACACGTGATCGTTCGTCTTAATTTGCTTCCCTTCTCAGCGTGAAGTTCCCAATGGAAGGGTAGGTAATGATACCGAGGGATAGGGATGATTGACAAGTGGGGTTATCACTGCAAGCCATATAATAACACCAAGCCAAAATAACATCAAACCGAGTCTCATGAAAGATACAAGGGGTCATTGAAGGGGTTTAGGAATAAACGAATTCATACGTGTACCTCAACAACATGAATATACCAGACGAGAATGAGTGGTGATTGACTAGTAGAAGAGTTGATAACTCACCATTGTAATAAGGAGAAATAGCAAAACATCCAGCTTGACTAGCAGCTATAGCTTGCGGTAAACCGAACAAACTAGTTCCTAAAGTTCTGATACCTTGTTCATTCAATTCTTTAGCCGCAGCCATACCTATTCCAACAACGGGAATCTTGATACCGTATTGATCTCTCGAAACACCTAATTCGGAAAAGATTTTATCAAAGTTATGACATTGAGCGAGGACTGTATCTTTGTTTTTTAGATTACGAGGGGATAATCGAATGAGTACGCGATTTTGGACGTTGGGTAAGTTGTTGGCGCATAGTTTACAACACTGTTATGAGTGAAGATCTATGACTCTAGTTGACACATTGCTTGACCTTGCCTCGTGGTTTTCCTTCAACACCAGCAACATGATGAGGGTTGGAGCGGGGTGAGTGTGTTAGGTTGAAGAAGTATTTTAGCAGAGGATATGTAGGTGACATAGATGGGAAGGGTGTTATGAGTGACGTAGGGAGAGAAAAACGAGGGGGTAAGCCGGATAGAAAGAAGTGGTGAAGATATCTGTGGGAAGGGTGGAGCAAAGGAACGAAACGAAAGACAACTCACAAACCTATCCCAAACTTCTGCCCATCCCTCTTTCCCAAACTCCTTCACCGCCCACTCATAATCTTCTTTATTGTATTCATCACACAAAGCAGTATAGAAAACAGCTTGATTACTAGTTTGGTTGAAAGCTTTGAACGGTAATGCTTTTGCTACTCTTGGATCTACAGAGTCGACGTCGATGTTGACCAGTTCGGATAGACGATCAAGTTTGGTTCTACCTGACATTTTGGTTTCAAATTCACTCTCACTGTATTCTGTCTATATCTCTGGATGGTTACAACTGTTGAACGCTAAAGATGTCACTGTCAGAGAGTACGAGGTTCAAATGTGGTGAGAGGATGAAGGATGTTTAAGTACTTTGACAAGAAACGTAGAAAGATAGAAATCGGACCGTCTTGACCGAAGGTTTGAGGGAATACCGCTTGGCTCGGTTATCTCGGTTTTTTTAATACGTCATCCCTGAATTAGTTATAGTCATGATTTTTAATCTGGGAAGTAGTGATAAGAGATACCGTGATACCGTGTACAGTGACTGTAAGCAGGGAGGCATGTTTAATGTTCTCAGACAGGTTGAAAGGGAAGATTTGAAGGGTGGTTGACATAATAGAGGAACGTTGATACATATGCTTATATAGATGTCAGGGTTGTATAGGTTATGAAGCTTGTGGGAATATGTATCTCATTCCATATGCGTCTTCGTTATCCGCATCTTGACATTAGTCGTTTTCACAGCGAGCAACATGAGTACGAGGTGCGAGAAGCCAAGACACCTATGGTGCTAAGGTGTGAGAGAGGGAAGGGGAAAGATCTTTGAAAGAGCTTTGTCAAATGGTTGGACGAGTTTGTTTTTTTTGCATTTGAGTAAAGAAGGGAATGGATGATGGATAAACTCACAATATCCCTTCTCCATCGTAAACACCTCAAAACCTAACGTATCCCTATAAAGGGAGATGGCCGCCCGGTTGGATTTACGTACATGCAAAGTGATTTTACTCGCTTTGTAATGTGCTACCATTGCTTCTTCTACAAAATCAGCTCTTCTCACTTCGACACGCAGACAAAAAGCTCATTTCCACCGTTCTCTTGGATCACACCGGAGGAAAACCCAATTGGTAACATGTCACGTCAAAGCAACAAATATAGAGGTGGTGAGCGAGTAAAGAAGGGACACTGACGAGATTGTTTCATCAACTTGTTGGCTAATCCTAATCTTCTATAAGGTCGTAATACTGATATACTAGTGACATGTCCTATCACTTCATCAGTAGAATCTTCATCCCTTATCGTCAGCTCTCCCTTTGTCGACTTGGAAGATTCATCTTTTCCCCGGCTACACCCAACTTGCATATCGAGAATAAGAGGTTTTGTGTCAAACAAAAAGAGCCAGACAATTTTTGGCTCCTCATGATCAAGAGAGTTGAATCTCAATGATAGACTAGAAAGTACGATTCCTAACCCTAACTCTCAGGGATGTGTGATTGTGGTCGAATGGTCCCAGATTTACAAAGCTGAAAGGAGATGCCGATGTGGTGTAAGAAAAGTGGACCTACATTTTCGCTAGGATATATCCCACTATTCTCCCTCTAGGATCAACAGCGACAAAAGAAAGTTCGGGCCAAGTAAGAGCATGATAGAGGTCTTTCATATTAGCTGACAATCCCACTTCCGTCATTTTTCTCCACTGTCCGACCACTTTCATGTTCATAGGTTCCTCCATTCTTTCATACTCAACCTGGTCAATCTTCAGTCCAACATCTTCACTTCTGAGCTTGCAAGCAGCATCGAGGACAGAGTCGTTGAGCTTTACTTTGAGATCGTACGTGAGAGAGCTGTCCGGAAGGTAGGAAGGAAAGTGGGAAGAATACCACTCACAATATTTGAAAGTGTAGTTTTCCGGGAGATTGAGCAGATTAGCATTCTGCATTCCTAAAAGATCATCGATAGTAGCTTGTCGGATATCCATCTTGTCTTGTATTTCTCTGGCTACTCTTCACGATCACTACAAAGTACGATGTCAAAGGGTTAAGGAACATTCAACTGGCTTTGTACTTTGTTCGAGGTGGAGGTCGAGTAGGCTCGCCACTATACTATTCCACATAGTACTTTAGCAGGCCTACTCGGACGTAGGTTATGCTCTTTTACGTAATGTATATGTTCCCTCCCCGCGCATGATTTTACCCCGCATTTGCATCGTACCACTTTTTTCAACATTCCACCGGAGCAAAACAATATAATCGTACCATTTGGTACACGGGCACGACTGTTTCCCAGGTCTCTATACACGCGGGACCACATAGGGACTATAACAGACTCTGAGGTTGAAGGACGAGATCAGAAGCAGCGATAACGCAAAATGGCGAGCTCAAAAACGGCCACAGGGGGTGTGAAGAGATACCTGACAATCGCTGTCTTGCTGGGGGCTTTGACAGTAGTGGGGTCGTATCTTAACAGTATCAATGTGAGTGTTATCCTATATTCTTTTCTTAAGCCTGCTGTCTCTCCTATTCGCTCATGTGATATTGTGTCTCCTACAACCCCCTCGCCCCCCACACTTCTTGGGAACATCATTCACACTATCCTGTTCCCGAGCGCTGGTCTCGTTAGAGGTTGAGATGGGATCCACGATGACTGGAAATGATCAGAATATTATGACACTTAATCTGTATCCTGGTGTGAGCAATGAGCTGCGGCCGACTAGCGTGGACGAGTCCGATGAGGTAGCGTAACTCTCCATCCGAGGCTTGTGAGGAAATGGACAAAGTTTGACATCAAGTCCCGATTCTACACATTCAATCCTGAATCCATCAACGCATGTGTCCAACGATCCCTCTCTATAGCCGCTGAATCAGGTACTTCAGTACCTACCAACACTTCACTTATCATTTCCACACTTCTGAACCAGTTGGTCGAACAACATCCTGAAGCCAGTCTCAATGTTGATTTTCATAATAAGAAAGAATGGGTGTTTAATAATGCCGGTGGGGCTATGGGAAGTATGTTTCTGATACATGCTAGTATCACCGAGTGAGTCTTTCCTTCCTACTCCTCCCACTCATTTATACCATCTTCACAATATTCATTGTTGAACCTTGTTATCACTCGTACAAGTCCGTATGCCCAACATTTACAGGGTATGGTGTGCGTTCCACCTTCGCTATTGAACATCTTCTCTTTCTACGATGAACGTATTTGATATTCGCTCTCATCCCTCCCCTCCCCCCAACCCCCCTCCCCGGGGAAGGATGTCTTGCTTAGGCATCGAACACGACTGATCCCAGATACATGATCATCTTCGGTTCAGCAGTAGGAACAGAAGGTCATACCGGACGTCATACAGCTGACGATTACTTCCATATTCTTACCGGCCAACAAACGGCATTCGAAGCGGGTGATCTGATTCGAGAAGTTTATAATCCCGGAGACGTACATCTAATGCGTAAAGGTGTGGTGAAGCAATATGCTATGATCCCCGAGACTTGGGCGTTGGAGTATGCACAGGGTGAGTGTGACCCACATATTGTTCACCTTCACTACGACTATTCCACTCCAACATGGTAATAATTCGGCTCAGCTCCCCGCTTATCGATCTGACCTGTTAGCTGGATTGGGGACCGCAAAGAAGGATGATAAGCTGATGAAATAGGTTGGATACCTCTCATGTTGCCATTCGGGTTTGCCGATACGTTTTTCTCCACTTTGGACCTGATCACATTGTATCACACCGTGAGGATTACAGGAAGGGAGATGATTAAGAATTTACTCAAGGGGAAGATATAGTGGATATGTCCGTCCATCCTCTCTCTTCAAGGATTGTGCAGGTTTCGAGTAGGGGGTTCACTCCGGGGAATGAATTTGGGTTGGGTGTCTGTCTGGTAGAGGATATAAATCTGTTGGGATCTCAGCGGATCAGTGGGTGTTTGAGTTGGTAGATAACATGGTAGAAGAATAATCGAATAGAAATTGCATGAGACGTCAATGTGGTATACGATATGCATAAGATATGTACAAGTGAATATGACATCATTCCACTTCACTCTTCACTTTCCACTTTTGGCTTGGTTTTTCTTTTAAACTTCATTCCAATAACTATACAGGTATCATATACAGCCTCTCTCCGAACGCTGCTTCATAAGATTGACAACGATGAGTATCCGATATATAAGTCAAAAGTTAGCTCAACAGGTGAGTGCTTGACTTTCCCCAAACAACTCAAGCTGATCATGAAAGATAGATGAAGAACTCATGTCATCTAACACTTACGCTTTCTCACTTGATCAAGTGAGTGTTCTTCACAATCTTTATCAACTCTATATATCCAATAATGTGTTTCATTCTTCACACTGAATATATCCCCTTTTATACACACACTCTCTCTCTTTCTAATTCTTGGTACTCTTTCGCAGCGTTTAGATTCTTTCTTTCATGCGATGTTACATTCTACATCCTACTCTACTTTCATCTCCCCTTATATGAATTTAACGTTTTGTTCTTCTTTACTGGGAGGTTGTATATAGCCAGAAATCAGATATTGAGATAAATCTAACTTAACTTAAATGGTAGTTGATGGAACTTGCTGGATTATCATGTGCTCAAGCTTTAACTAAGAGTTATCCTGTCAGTTCTCATAAGAGGGTTATGGTTTGTTGTGGACCTGGGAATCAAGTGAGTTTTCCATGAACTTTTCATTTATCAAAAAACTCGGTTTGTGTCCATGATCATTGTCAATTAACATTGATATTATTCCCTATTGAGTTATTTGACTGTTCATTTTGTTGTGTCCTCATTCCTGAAAAATTTCTCTTGTCTTTGTCATTCTTTTCCCTTATCCTCCCAAAGTCATATAATAACTCCCTCCCCCTCGCTATCCATGTCTCTAAATGAGATCAGTCCCTAGCGATCTAACAAGTTCCGCGTGTCATCTCGTAACATCTGTATGCAAGCTATGGAGGGACCGAGAGAAAGTATCCGTATTGACCCCAAGGGCGGAGATGGTTTAGTAGCTGCTCGACATTTACATATGTTCCGATACGAACCAACAATCTTCCTTCCTAAACCTGGTAATAAAGATATATACCAACGGCTTCTTAAACAATGTCAGAATTTGAATATACCGATTTTGAAAGAAGTTGAGGAATTTGAGAAAAAATTGGGGGTTAGTGATTTGATTTTGGATGCTATATTTGGTGAGTTGCAACTCTTACTTCCCTCCCCCCCTTCCCCCCTTCCCCCCTTCCTCCTCCCTCCTCCTTGTCCTCTCCCTTCTTTCTTCCCAATTGAATGAACGATGCCTTGCTATGGATGATTTCAAAATCTTAAGGTGTACAAAGCAGATGACTGACTCATAAGGATTCTCGTTCCAACCACCCGTTCGCAAACCTTTCGATAGAGTCTTGAGATCATTAAAGAATTCCGGTTTACCCATTGTGTCGGTTGATATACCTTCTGGGTGGTCAGTGACGGATGGTCCTCAACCGTTGTATACTCAGGAAGATGAACAAGGTGGGTTTTATGTCGCAAATCGCCTTCCACACAATTGCCATCCACCTGGAAGGTCTGTGTATGGTGTTCCGCTATACCTCCCAGGAAAAAGAGAGTAAAATAAGATCGCGCCCCCTCTGTATGGCTGATTGGCTTGCTATCCGCCATGCTCAATTATCCAAGTGTGTTGGTCTGACCAACGAAAGAGTCACAATGTCATCTGACCTTCTGCCTGTGAATGGCTCGTGGCCGCGGTTGGGTCACTGTGTTGTCGATTGACCATTAGGCAAAAGCGAGCCTGTGGAAACTATCGACCCTGAGGTACTTGTGAGTCTCACAGCACCGAAAGAAGGTGTGAAGGGATATAAAGGTCGACATTGGTTAGGAGGACGATTTGTGCCCGAGTGAGTTTCCGATATACGTGACTCTACCCACCATCTTCCTTGTTGATCATGACCTCTCGCGCTGCTAGCTTCTCCTTTGACTAATAGTGCTACTCATACCCACACCTGTCATGCTGTCATCGCTTCCATCCACCATCTTCCGCCCGTGTCACCTCCCCCTCATCCCTTCACTTGGCTACTTGTTGCTCGTGTTTGTGATCTAGGTAATCAAGGGAGTCTACTGACACACAGCTCTTTAGCAGAAAAATACAACTTGAATCTACCAGAATACCCAGGGGTGGACCAAGTGGTCGAGTTACCTCGGGCCTAGATGCACGTCGTGCCAGAAATGCAGATCTTTGTGTTGTACTGGGCTATGTAGATCTTTCCCTAAACCTTTGTCACTGTCTCATTGCATGCTGCATGTTCAGTCTCAAATATATCATACAAATAATTACCATCCCCATACTTTGCCATGCTGCCATACTGCTGGCTTGACTGTCTCACTTTGTCGTCATCGTACCCATCGTCATCCACATTCCGCCACGCCACGCAGCCCCATTCTTACATTGACTTGCACCTTTGCACCTTCCCACCTTTGACCACTTTGTCACTCTGACCACTGATATCAAGTAAGCAAGTGAAATGTGGTCACCACCAAATACGTCCACTTGTCCTCCCGTGAGCCTCAAACACTTAACTTACTGTAATTAGTGACTGAGCTTGAGAACTGATCATAGGCAACACCCATCTTACCCGTCATCTTGGCCGTTTTGATCTTGGTCGGAACGGTGATTTCTTATCTTCCTCAGGTAAGTTATGTCTTTTTGACCTTGTTCGTTCCTGCTTTTCTCTCGTTTTTCTCATCTTCCCTCTTTTCTATCCTGTATCCCTTCCTCTCTCTCCTCCTCTTCCTGCTCTGCGTTGTTCTCTCTTGTCCTCGAACTCGTCTTTTCTTTCGTTACTTTCTCTCCTTCTCTTTCTCATTACTTTATCTCCTTCTCTTTCTCATTACTTTATCTCCTTCTCTTTCTCATTACTTTCCCCCGTTTCCTCTCCCTATCTTTCTCTGAGATGATTGACGTTCACAGTGCTTGTATAACCCTCTTTGATCATACATTGAGCAATCTCCACTCCGTATAAGCTAACAATCTAGCATCTACGAATCATCCGATCCGGTACTTCAGAAGGTTTCTCACCCGTAAGTATCTCCCCCCTCCCACCCCCCATCCCACCTCACCAATCCTTTCACAAAATCACTTTTTTCCATCCCCACCCCTCTTCTGACAACTTACCACAAGGACTTTTGAGTTCATAACTCCTCATTTAGTTAAATCAATCATGACATCAAAACTCTACCATCTGTCCAGAGAGTCTAGTAGTTGATATCTCAGTGGTTCCTCCTTCTAGGATCAACAGCAGGGACAAGTACACTTTTCAACGTTTTAATTTTACAATGGCCTTTATTTCGATGTTGTCGAGTTGTTGTATGTCAATTTCCGCTCTTCTCATTTTTCACCAAGCCCTCTCAGAAAACTGCTAGAACCCTCTGACCTACATCTAATGGTAGTCATTACTGGGTCCAGCTTGTCGTACACCTCCTGTACGATCTACAGTCAACGTCGGCTGTAGCTTTCTCAGCGAGAATGATGGAACTTCAATGGGTAGATGATACTGATTTGAAGAGCCCTGGGAGATGTTTCAGTTATTTGACGGCGTTTTTTCAAGTGGTCATGCTTTGGTTTCTCTTCATCCTAATGTGAGTCAAACAAACATCTTTTTTGCTATTCTCAATCGTTCGTATTCATCATTTTCCTCAAAAAACTCAATCAGGTCTGACCAATCATGATTTTCTTGGTCATTAGATCTATCACGCCTCGCTGCTTTGTTTAAAGAGCTCGTGATAGGATTTCTGATTTCAAACCTCGAGCCTCGAGTGTCTCTACTTCCTCATAGCTAGTCGTTCTGAGTTCTGGGCTTTGGGTCATCCGATCCCGTCAAATCACTCATCTCCAGACTCATCCTTTACATAATATACTTTCCTCATCATCTCAAATATCAACGTGTGGTACATCTCTCTTCCCCTCGTTCGGCCTACGGAACTCTTACCGAGGAAGAAGATGAAGCGTCTTCCATACCGGACCATCCCTTGAACGATGACGGGACTCATGGGGCGATCTCAGGATCAAAGGGTAAACTCGAGACGACATCAGAATGGAGAACTGGAGTGATTGTATCGGTCGTAGTTTTTATACATTTGTAAGCTTACCCTTTTTTCCTACCTCAGCCATCACCCTATCCAACCGATCGAGTTCCAACCCACGAGTCTAGTCCAACTCCACTTTTCTTTCTCTCACTTTCAAATAGGCCACATGAACTTCACTTGATTTCCGGAAGTCCAAATTGACGTTCCAGTCTTTTATTCCTGTTCCTTTCTCTGACCCTCCTCATAGCTCTTCCCCCTACACCACCACATCCCCTCGTCCGACACCTAGCCGCTTTCCTAGGTCTCTCCTCGGCTTTATTAACAGCATTCGAATTCACACCTCAGCTATACAAAACCTACCGTGCAAAATTGGTAGGTGCTCTGAGTATATCGACCATGATGATCCAAGTTCCCGGATCTATGGTTTTAGTTTTGAGTTTGATTTTGAGTCCAGGGACTGAATGGTCCACTTGGTTGGTTTACGTCGTTGGGTTATGTATGCAAGCTTGTTTGTTGGTGAGTTTGAGCTTTATCTCTTCTACTTGTTTCAATATTCTCCCGTCACTCACTTCGAACCTCTGACATTTCCATCATTTGAAGTTGTCACATGATCGTCTGAAATGACTGTCTGCCAAAGATGATCGTATCTCCCTTTCGTTCCCCATAAACCGTTCAGGGTCGTGTGGTGATGCTCATTAGATGGTCCGTAATAGGAAGAGATCGGTGTGAAAGAAATATCATTGATGAGTTAGATAATGTGTTTGATTTGGAAACGTCGTCAAAGTCGATTAGGTATAAACGACTTTGGTGTGATTTTAGATTCTCCTCCAGAGGTAGAAGGTGAAGAAACGGCTTTGATACGATGATAACAAATTCTTTCTCTTTACTTCATTCCGGAGTCGAAATGCAGTATCTCCCAAGACGATATACGACAGCAAGCATGTTTCATGAACCTTTTATTTGTTGTATTTCTCCACATGCATGAAACTATGATCGATCTCTCATTTCTTATCCTTCCACATTCATTCACCTTCTCTGATCTTATTCACAGATATCGACTCCAACTTTTATCCCCAGAATCAGCATTCATCCAGAGAACCAACCCATACTTTCAAACCACCCCTTTATTCAAAAGCCCATCCCCTATCTCCAAAACCAGCGTCTACTCTACACTAAACATCGTCTATCCCAGAACCAACCCCCATTTCAAAAACCTCTCCCTTGTTATAAAACCACTATAAGAAGATTTATCTCGAATCAAATGACGCTGTCAAGGAAGGAGGAAAAAAAAAATCAAACTTGATAACCTCTCAAACCATCAACGATCCTCCAAACTCCCCAAGCTCCAGGATCAGGTACCATCCTCTTTTTCAATTCTTCTTGATTAACATAAGCGCCTCTACCAGCTTTTGCCACTAATTCTTTTGTTTTTTCAGCAGATTCAAGAGCAGCTTCGGCCGCTTTGGAGAGTGAAGAAGTGGAAAGAGATGTTATAAACGTTTCTAATGGATCTACTAAAGTACGTGAAGGTGGACGTGCACGTGTATATTTATATAATGTTTTTAATGCTTCTTCTGCTGCTTGCGCCCAAAGAGTTGGAGAGGTGGTAGTTGTTTTGGAAGAACGGAGTGAAGTTCCTAGACCTGCGAAAAAGATTCTAAAGGGGTGGTTAATATTTACTCTAGTATAACGATTTGATTCAAACATCAAACGAGATTATTTGTTTTCTGGATGAATGATGTTTTTTGGAAGAGTCTGGAAGAGGAATAATGTGTGATTGTTCGGGGATGAAATGGATCTTCATCAAGAATTGAGAGAGAAGATATGGAAATGGAAATGGTAATGGAAATGGAAATGGAAACAGATATTGTCAAGGTATATGTTGGAATGATTTTGTGAAGGAGAAGAATTAAGTAGAAACATACGAATATAAAGCTCCGGAAGTTCCACCCATTTCTTCCTCTACTACTTCAGCTATCACACCGATATCTTCTACCACATTCTCTCCTTTTAATTTCCCTTCTTCTATAGCTTTCAAAACTCCCTTTGCACCCGCTTCAAGAGTCAAACCGGCATCACCATCACCTGCTATTTGATCTTGTTTGGTGAGTTCTGGTTCGGCTTCGATGAGTGATTTACATGCTCGGATAATGGCGGCTAAGAATTCTTCACTGTTTTCGGCTATTTGTCAGTGTGACCATTCTGAACCGGTGAGGTTTGATTCGTGGTGAATACCATCACATCCCGCTTGTTTTATTCCCTCATTGAAATGTAATATTTTGGATCCTCCCGATATGACTGGTCGAGTCTACCCCTATGTTCCCTTTCTTCATCGTTCACTCGATTCCACATCTCTCCAGGAAACCGGAGAGTGGAAAATTGATGACCAGAGGAATAGATGAAAAGTAGAAGGAAGTGAAAATAGAATGATGTTGATTGATGGTTCTGACAGGTGCCAGGTGGAGAAATCAAACCGATACTCACGAGCAACAATCACCTCTTCACCTTTTTTCACCTCCACATGTATCTCTTTCTCACTCATTTCTCCAGGTTCTTTCCCACTTGTCCATCTCCAACCCGGAGCGTTAGCCGGTGCATCCAACAATTTCAAAATCTCTTCCGTCCCATACTCTTCTCCTTCTTTAGGAAGTAACAATAAAGTTAAACTGAACCCAGGCATATTGAGTGAAGTCATATATGTTCCTGAGAAAACTCTTTTTACTTTTATATTTTTCTCTTTCAACCATGAAATAGCTTCTTGAGTGATCCCACCCATTTCTAATTCACTAATCCCTCCAAGACAATTGACCATGAGTACCACTTCATCTCCTTTACCATTAAAAGGAACGAAAGAACGATCAGGATCGGTAGTATCGGTGATTTTACTTAACATTGTATCGATCAATTTGGAAACTGTTGGAAGAGAAATTCGTGAGGTTCCAGGTTCGTTATGAATTCCCATACCTAATTCTACTTCTTCTGGTCCTAGATGAGCTTCGGAAGAACGTGTACCGGGTACATGACAATGTTCTAATCCGACACCGAGGGTTGCAAGACGGGTTGAAATGTATTTAGCAATGGATTCAACGGAATCGAGAGAAGCGCCTGTGGAAGAAAGAGCAGCGGCGATTTTGTATACTAAGATAGTACCAGCAAGACCACTGTATATCAGCGGGTAAGTCCTCTCATCTTCGCTCCTAGCCTTATCCCTGCGATTCTTCAATGCCACAATCTACCAGCTATCTTTAAGTGGTATTGAGATGAGCATGTGGGGGAGGAATATCGGGTGACAGTAGAAGATACGACTCACCGCCTTCCTACAATAGCTCCTTGTTCTCTACCAACAGCAACATCATCACCGACCATTACCACTCTTACATCACCCGGTAACCCGGCACTTTTATGTTGTTCCGCAGCTAAACCGAAATGTAGAGCATCACCCGTATAATTCTTAACAACCAACAACGCTCCTTTCTCTCCTGTTACATGATGTATACCCCTTCGGATCTGAGCGACGTTTGGTGAGGCGAAAACGTTCCCGCATACAGCTGCATCGAGAAAACCTTCACCGACAAAACCTGCATGGGCAGGTTCGTGACCTGATCCACCACCGGAGAGGATGGCTACG